CCTTGTGTTTACAGGTTTTGTTACCTTTTCCTAACTGACTTAGTACCTACTCCTTCCTGTCCCCTCTCTCTGCTAATAGATTGATCACCCATTAGTAATAATTAGAGGTTAATAATGCTGAGCTGGAGTTCTTACTAAGCAGGACAACAAAGGTAGCCTAGTTGATCTGGCCAATCTCTAGACTTGTGACTAATAGGGTTTTGTATATAAACTACTTGGTCCTAAGTCTTGAGTTAAGCTTTTCCAAACTTAGTTACTGTATTTTACAATTCCTAACAAGAAGATGCTATTTTCACAGTAGAAATCCATCATGAACAGTACAGAGAGATTATAAATGGAAATCACTAATAGAGTTAGCTGTGACCTTAGTAAAGAAAGGAGGCAGAAAAGTAAAAGAAGATTGAACAAGCAAGAATAGGGGTTGTAAGCAATTGCAACATAGCCAACACCTTTATTTTGAGTAACTCATTTTGTTTTTTCTTTTATATATTTGATAGTATGCTACACTAGTAGCATTATAGAAGTATATTGAGTAATTTTTAGTCTTTTATTAATGACATAGATATAGTAGCAATTTATTGGTATTTTTTGAATAATTTTCGTGATGGTGGTTCGTGGGAGAGCTGTGTCACTCTGACTCATTACAAAAATCTGTAACACCTGATTCAACACTTGTATTGGTTCCTATTACATAAGACCCTCTGATGCTGAACTTACTGGAAGTCATGATTTTCAAGTGATAGCAGATAATAAGTAGATAACCACATGCCATTAATTCAAGTCAATTTTCGGTTCTATAGTATATTGATGCACAACAGCATCATTATGGTAAATGATTCAAAAGCATGCTTGCAATATCAGCCCTGTATCAGTGTAATTAGTAGACATTATATGGATTCGATACTGTAATTTGCAGTGTAGTGTAGTATGTCTCTCGTTAAAATAGTATCATGAGTATTGAAACATTGTCCAGTCTATGTAGAGGGTACTTTCAAACTTCTCATCCTAAGTCTGGAGAAAAACAGCCAAAAGGGGAACTAGCAAGCAATAAGGAACATCACACACAAATGTTTTTGCCTCGACTGTTTTGTGCCATGGATAATGCAAACTTCACCTAATAGAGAAGAGAACAATAGGGTTCACATCTATGGAATCCACAAATAGTTGGATAAAATATCTATTATTATCTTCTATTGGCTATCTCCAAGACTATCAACTGGTTGCAGATGTTTACTCATTCAGTTGTTGACGCAGACTGACACGCTCCTCTGTGTCCCACGTCTCTGACAGGTGCTGTCCAAGTTGCCTCAAACTGTTCCCTTCTGTAGGGGTAAAGTATGCTTCACGTCCTGTGATTGTGCTGAAAACTGAAAAAAAACAAAAACAAAAAACAGATTGTATTAGACATGAATCAGTACAGAAAAGAGGTTTGTAGTAAGATGTACCGATGATTGCTCGTGCATTATTTTCATTTTCATTATATCCTGTTCTAACGTCTAGATTTTCATTTCTAGATCTTACAACTATTGAGCATGCGTTACAATACGTAACTCCAGTCTTGCTATCTGCTGTTGAAGTGAGAAATACTTACCAGCTCGAAATAGTTCAACACCATCTAGTCTTTGTCTAGGAACATAGATCACTTCCTGTGGTCCATACCTTCTTACTCTAGACATAATTTAATGAATTACTCTGATATCTTGTGAGGCATAGAATGAGTACAGTGTGTAGACAAATGCACCGTTACTTATGCATACTAATGTCAACAAGATGACTGCAAAGTACAATGGCAAATTATAGCATCAAAGGATGGCAAAAAGGGAAGTTTATAGCTCTGGCTCCATAATCCCATGATCTTTGTGCATCAAGTATCTGATATGGCAATATGCAATGTAGTAACGTACTGTTTGTCAAGAAAAAGCAATTACAGGCATTTTGACAAACAGTTTAATTGTTGAAATGGGAAATGTGAGCTTTCTAGCTTATCTCTAGAAATGTGAAACGGAAAGGGATCAAGAAAGCGTGATTGGTAGTTTCGAAATCCTTCTTGGCATCTTACAGACATGTTTCGTTGTAATCACGTTGACAGACAAGCATTGCAAACTCGCTCAAGTGCAAGTGTAACAACTGACGCAATGTGGCGAGGGAAGGTGGTGCCATTCTTGCCTCACCACCGGCTATGGGAATACTAGTACTGGTTCTAGATTTTAAGCTCTCAGAATTTCATACCGCGACTGGCTGCGCTTCCGATACACTATTACGAGAGCCGTGTCTGAGGTGATCTTCGAGAAGATTCGTCTGGTGAATGCCTTGATGGTTCGGGGGGTGCTGTTGCCGTAAACTTGGCAGCACCATATCTCTGATCTCCAATCATTCCGAGCAACAGATGAAGCCATTGATGTGACGTTATGAATTCCGAGAACGTCTCATGCATGTTGTAATTCAAGAGAGGATCAGCAATTTGCCAGTCACACCTAGAGCGGGGTCGGTAAACATTGTAAATCATTCCTCATGCCTATGTTGCTACTTACACATCGTCATCATTCTAGTGTACAGTCTGCTTCTAGACAAGGAGAAAACTTACGTTTGTAATGCTCATTTTATACTGTACTTGCCCTTGTCCATAAATTTTGAGCAAAGAGCCTGACAGATACTCATAAGCGCTCTTATGCTATTAGGAAGCATGCTATATGAGTTTCACAGACTGGCAAGGTGCACAATAAGTGAGTAGATGACACTATAGGCGAAGGCTATTGGCAAAGCCTTGTGCTGGAACATGATCGACATCGAAGAGTATCGAATCTATCGATGCAGCACTGTGGAGCTGTACGTTGAACAATACATAATGGCCGATGGAATCAAGGCATCACAAACTGACACTCTCGTCACCGCATACACAATGGAGTTGTGATGTGCTATGGCCATGTTCTACGCAGCAAGCAACAAAAGTCGTGCCAAGGACAAACATCGGCGTTCTGTAACAGCGTAAGGCGCGTGGATCGCGGAATCAATCTGACTAAGCGGACAAATTCGGCTAACTGCTAAATGGTTTTTAATTAATAATTATGGAAAATGCTTCTTGTATTACTCAACTGGGTACAGTTGAGCGATGACTAGCTTGGCAACATTCCTTTATATCAATCAGGCAGGAAAGCCTTCATAAAAGTGCATGGAAACATAAAATATTCTCCAGATAATGCCTGCAGTCTTCTTTCAAGTTTGCACGTATCTCAGTGTGAGAATAATTCTTTATTTTGCAGGGGATATCTTACAGGCTGGAGCTTGCCATCAATAGTCAGACTCATTATGGTATTAAGGCACGTATTACCGGATGCGAAGATCTGTATAATGGGCAGGAGCTCATCAATAAAAATGCTGTGTGATGGAGAAGGAGATCAGAAATCTCCTAGCTGAGGCTTGGGACAGGCTAACGTAATTTTCCGAGACGGGATGGAGTCAGGGAGTAGGCTTCTCACTTCGAATCGGGGTAAGTGACTTTCTCCAACGTATTCGCGTGAAAGAGATTGCATCGTGACCTCCTTAGTTGACCAAGGCATGCTTTCATAATTGCACATATAAAAGAACAGGATACACGCATTGGTTCAAGAGATAAGCAAAGAAATGCTACAAAGGGACATAGTCGCTCTTTCCCTTACTTGAAGAAGTTCGGAGAGTGACCTAACTCTACAACTAATTTTGAAATTCCTGCTCTATGTCGAGAGCAGAGTTGGAATCGCAGTTAGCAGATACATTGACACAAGTTCAGAGGCTGACTTGACTCTGCACCTCATTTTGAAATTCGTCTCAGAGTGACCTCGTGTTTATGGTAGAGAGCGGGGTTATAATCGCGGTTAGCAGATACATTGATACAAGACACTGGTATACTCGTTTACATCAACGCTACTTGTTTAACGAGCTTGCTGATCGCTCTTTTTTCCTTTGCGAAACAGGGTGATCATATACGAGCAGGGGTACAAGTCATGCAGAGCAAGGCTGCATCGCTCGTTCCTTGGAAGCTCTTTGAAGTGGATGATATTTCCCCGTCGGTTTGAATATACTTGAGCAGTTCGTAAGATGGAGACAAAGGTACTCTCTGTAAACTGAGGCACAATGTTCAAATCAGCACGCAGCTCGTTCTTACTCTATCAGACCAACGTTCACGCTGTTGAAAGCCCCTTGCCTTGCATTAGGCTTGTCCAAAATCCTAGCGGTATGGAAGTAAAGGTTAATCGTTTCCAGTGGGCCCCATGCACGATCGCCAACAATTAATTGTTCTACACATTACAACACGCACGTACTATATGCATTCCCTTCCTCTACTGAAATATTATCCAGGCCACCTAGAAGAAAGTAAAGATCATGATCAGTGACACGATGAAAAATGGTAGAGTAGATTTGTTTATCGGTCAGAAATATATTGTTTCGTCATGTCGAATCAGAATCGTTCTGACGATGTCAGTATGGTCTTCATTCAAGAGCAGGGCGCAAGCTTGATTATTTTTTAAACGAAGAACTCACCAGAGGAGAGAGGCTTGCGGTAGGTACTGAGGCCAGTAGAGGTTAGGTGAATGTGAGCACCACCCGGGGTGTTTTATGTACGTGAATCCTTGAGTCATGCCTACTGCGACGGTCCCGTATGTTATTGCCGTAACTTCGGCGGCTCCGTTCTCTCCTGCCGGTACGGAAAGTGAAGATTTGAGTCATTCTTATTCCCAACGGCCCCGTATCTCCTCTCTAGTAAGTTACGTAGACATGTTGCATGTTGCATGCTATCCTCAGTGGTCCATTATTTCAACGCCCATACTGAGAAGCAGTCGCTTCCGCAAGATTTGTCCATCTCATTCTTACCTTCCAAGACGCGAAAATTTACCAGTAAATCGTAGACCTCATTACGGCATACCTTTATTACTTATTAGCTAACTGAAAGACTCAAATCTGAAGCCTGTAGCAAACTGATGTATAACGCTGCTTCACACTGCATCTGCCTAAGGATGACAATCCATGGCACAAGGCAAATTCACATACAATGGTGAGGGTGTTTATGCGGATCAGCTAGAAGACATTCCGAACACCTTTCTCGCATACATAATGTCATGGTTTAAGACGTATGAGATGTTGTACGAGACAATGGATCACTGAGTGTCTGATGTCCTCTAGCCAAAGGACGTGGATCCGATGTGGCCACTTAGAATCAAGCAGCACTGTAAATTCACTTTCTTCGGTAGATGTCAACAAATCCTTCCAACTAATTACAACAGCTTTCTTGAATAACGATGACAATTGCAACGATCAAACACCTGACGACACCTCTTGCCTGCTACAGCTCATTTCGACCGTCAAAATGATCCACACCCAATTTGTCAATTTCGATGCCCTCGAACATACGGACGTTGACCCCGACAATGGGCATGCCTGACACAGTAAAGAATAGGAGGTTTCCACACGTAGGACAGAAATGAAACGCGGTAGTCTTCGTCTTGTTTTCGAACCTTGTAAATTCGTCCCAAGTGGCGGATGGTGAGGTGATGTGCAGCATTCTCTCAGCACCGGACCTGCGGGTCAAAGATATAAGAGTGACTCGTTCGGAAATCTCGCTTCCGAAAAGGAAAGAAACAAAGATGCCGAAGAAACGTACACGAAAATCGCCCCAGTTCTGGTACAAAATGTGCAGTTGCATAGCACAGGCTTTTTCACCTCCAGAGGCGGATGAAGAAGCTCGAATGTGAACTTGCGGCAGTGACAATTGCCTTGATACATTTTGAGTTCACCACTATCGGGATATCGAGCGAAATCAGGGAGATCCCCTAGAGCCGTCGTACTGGAGGCTGATTCGAAAGACATACTTGATGGGTGAAAATGATATATCGACCGGTTTCCTGCCTTTATAGCGCAATTACAGGCCTCGGTCTTTGTTTTATAGTATAATTATGTGTAATTGCAGCCATGTTGGATACTGCCGAATGTGGAGACCGGGTGCAGATGCCGCTTACTCACAATAATGACGAACAAACAGTCTGTACATACGGAATAGATGAGTCTGGACTGTTGAGGTCAAAATGTGGAAGCGAAGAGATACAAAAGCAATATAAGTCCTCTGCTTATATATACTTGCCCTTCAGTGTCCAGAGACGTGTTGCGGCTTCGACTCGATTGACAATCCTTAAGCTAGCAATCTCATAGAAGAAATTATTACAGAGCATTGCATGAATAATCCCAAGTCTAGCCTCGAATTAGGCTGGACAGGGCACTAAGACGATAGACAACGAGGCGTTGGGAACTTGGGATTTTGAAAGCTGGCAAATGATGTTAAGTTAAGACACACATGCCAAGACAGCAACTGGTAAGGTTAAGTCTTCTATGCATCTTCTAGGCCTCTCAGCAGGTCTGAGGTGGAGGCGAGAATTGAAACTAAATGTCCTGTGATAATATTTTTCCTTTTTTTAAATTAAAAATTACATAATCAATCGGCAGTTCCGAGTCGAATCAGAGTGGCTCGTCATTCCACAAACCTTTCTCGGCTCTCGTGTACTCAGATTCAGGACCCCCTCGATGCTTTTGCGCCGTTATGTAGACTTATTAATATTCTTAGACTCTTGCGTTTGGTACCCGCTCATACGTTACGTCGGCTCAGAATTTGAAGTGCCATGTGTACCATCTACAGCCGAGCGCGCAGTGTTCGGAGCGACGCAGCACTTGAAAGTACTGGTGGTATGCAATGCGCTTTGGACCAGGTCGGTTCCTGAATTTGGGACGTATTAGACTAACCTTATCGGAGTACAAGGTGCATTGAGTAATTGTCTTTTTATATGTATACGAGGATAATTTGGAATCATGGATCGTACTTCCCTCGCTTATCAAGTAGTTCGACAGTTCGAGTCTTCGACCGTATCCTCTCATTCCTAATTAACTTGTCTTGCTGAGATCAAGACGAGGCCTGCGACGGGAGGCACAAGACGCTTTTCACTCAACGAGATACTGTCAGCTGCCACCTTAAGCATATGCACTTGCAATGCTCTGGGTAGGCATGACCTCGTGAAGCCACGTCAATCTGCCAGCACACAAATATGACGAGCTCGACAGGGATAGCCAAGTCATCTTTCTCTACGAAACGGCATTCCATGTGCTCAAGTTGATCTGGTGTACTCGTTTTCAGGCTAGAGTTTTCTCGCCGTCATCACTTCGCGCGCGAAAACATGTTGGTGAAGTTTTCCTCGATGGTTTGTCCTTTGTCTAATATCCGCTCACCCTTCGATCCATGTGCAGGTGTGCACTGATGATCGGCACCATGGTTGACCGACTATTCTTTTGTTAAAAAAGGTTATTTGATCAAAGTCTTCCGTTTTTCTCCTTCCCGTCGGCATGGCGATCATGCGTATAAAGTCTACCGCCAACTCATGATTCGGATTTGATTAACGTTTTCCTCCGGATCCGTGCGCAAGGTGAGCCTACGTAGTCCCGATTTCATATCTCCGTGTTACGGAACTCGTTCGTTTCGTATACTAATGTTCCGGCTTTGATCTGCAGGCGACATATACTATCTCTCCGTGAGAAAAGAGATTGCAATAGACTCAGACTCCGATATCCATCCCATGACTGGCACATGTGCCTCGGGTCTTCTTTTAAGTCCCCAATGTCTCTTGCTTCTGTTTCAGGCAATCACTAAAGTTCGCGCCGTTCCGCAATCATCTCACCTTTATCTTTGCTGCGTTCTCTGAGTCTGACGTGTCTTGTGTCTTCGGTTGTTATCTGAGTTTTCTCTCATCTAGGAGGCGGAATGTCACCTTGTGCTGCGGTTGCCCTCTTGCATTCAATCCGCGTGCGACTCTGAGAGCCCTACCCACACGATATGGACTCCTAAACAATCATCTTTTGGGCTCGAGATGTTGCGCTGGCGCTTGGGTATTCGTTGGCTATGACAAACGGATTGCTTCCGACAGCGCCGTATTCCTCACTTCCACACACTCAGTGGCTCTCGACCTCGCGCCGACAACACCGGAAAATGCAATATAATTCATGGCATCGCTATAAAATAGACTCTCTCTACAGGTTCAGTCGTTAGCTGCCAGGCTCTTCCTCACTGTCCTTAGGCAACAACTCTGCTCAGACGCACGTTCCATTCTTTATCATGTTCTCCTCAACGTTGTCATCGCTCGTCCTTCTCTTATGCACGCTCACTAATCTTACCTCTGTGTTCTCCTTCCCTGTTGACTCGGATGGCCTAGACAGTACCGCTCGCAAATTTTTGGCCCGTGCAAAGCAGGCCACTCCTGCCGCCCCACATTTTGTCATTTACAGCGATAAATTTGTTTCCGGAGAAACTGGCCCGCCTGACGTTTCTCAAGTCGAAGTGCGTTTTTTTTCTTAACGTTTCCTCCGACTTGTCGGTGCTAATCCGGTACAATTGCATGTCAAGGGATACAATGTTTTGTGAGACAAATGAATCTTCCGAAAGAAGCACGTTACTGACATCAGTGCAGCGCTCTTTCTTTCCTACTCATTGAAGGCGCATTTGATAAGGCTGAGGAGTGGACCCAGCTTAGCGCGTCTCAACGCAGTGCAATCAAGTCACAATACGCGGTAAGAATTTGGTCGTGTGACCCCAGTGCTTATACTCATATCTACTTTTGTGCTGGAAAAGGCTGCAGGAATCAAACTTATTGTTTCCTTGTTTGGCGCAACCGATGCTCCGACGTCCACTGGAGCAGACCCCACGCAAACTGCTAACACAATGGCCGCCTGGGTAAAACAGTTCGATCTTGACGGCGTTGATGTCGATTACGAGGTTCGATTCGCTTCTTATAGAAAGTGTAATATACAACTGACATTCATTGTACACAGGATTTCAATGCAATTAACGCGGGTGATGGTAAAGCCGAGGCTTGGCTTACCACATTTACGAAGCAGCTTCGCACGCAGCTTCCTCAGGGAGACTTTATACTTACACATGCTCGTATGTTCCCACGCAATCGACCTCGTGTTGTCTTGTCTCATTCTGATTATTTCTCTCTCCAGCTGTCGCTCCCTGGTTCTCCCCGAACAAGTTCGGTGGTGGTGCCTACCTCACTGTTAACGAAAATGTTGGCAGTTTGATTGATTGGGTAAGCAGTACGCATCGAATAAAGTAACTAGCTTCTCATCCGATAATTTTCTACTCCAGTACAACGTCCAGGTAAGGCAATTATTAATAGGTAATCTTATACTTATACTTATATTGTGCTCTTTTTGCAAACTGCGAAAAGTTCTATAACCGTAAGTTGCACATCGTAGTTCGCCCAATTGATCCGAATCTAACTATTAATTTTAGAGGGAACAAGCGAGTATACGACGTGCAATGGTCTCCTGACCTCCTCCTCAAGTACCTGGCCTGAGTCTGCTCTGTTCCAGATTGCCGCTAACGGTGTAGCTCTAAACAAGCTCGTCATCGGCAAGCCCGCCACGTCAGGCGATGCCAGCAATGGCTTCATTGACCCATCAACGCTTGCTGGATGCGTTGCGCAGGCAAAGAACAAGGGTTGGAATGCCGGTGTCATGGTCTGGGAAGTATGTATCACTATATCTGCAGCAAATTTGAAACATATCTGACCGCTCTACCAGTTCCCGGACGCCGCTGCATCCTGGATCGAGACAGTTCGCTCTCAGGCATTCCCTGAATAATTGATCCGGTGGGGGGAACACTAGTTAGAATGGGAAATATCCGTCACGCTGGATATCTTTAGAGTTGTAGTGATTCTTATTCCTTCTTTTGTTGTCGAGATTCCTTGGGGTTTCTGCGACGCCATTCGTTGATACGTTCTCTCCTTCTTCCTTGCTTCCATGTGATTATGTATCTCCTCCTGTATTGCTAATTCACATTTCAGCGAAATGGAATCGAAATATCTGCGAAAAACAGGATGGTGACTGGATCGTAGGATTTCCGATAGAAAGACGTGATTATATAATCAAGCACCATTTTAAGTCGCACACGACCTGAATTTTCGAGTTGCCTAAAGCACTGCCAGGACCCACCGCGGAAAAACTGGAGTCACCCTGGACGCTAGAAAGAAGGAACGTATTCCGATAACGATGCTTGTTGAATCAGGAGAGAAGTATTGCCATATGCTCTAGTGTTCGACGGATAGCCACGTCACAAGTCAAAATTCAAAGTCTGCAGTTCTCAACTTGGCTTCTTCTTGAAAGCGTTCCAAATGGGTCTCTGCATGTCTATCTATCGGGTACGATCTGCTAAATGCGCTGCATAACTGCGTCGCAAGGAGAACAGACAAAAGTTTCTTGGCTGCATGCTGACGTGGTGGTGGTGCATCATGACGAGCATTAATATTTACCCAAATATTTCTGTTGTGGCTACAAAACGTACCATGTGCTGTTGACATGCAATATACGACTATAGAAATGCCAACTCAATATAGCACATACGAGCCGGCTCCGGTACACGGACAATATTACAAGTCCCTGTCATTTTCTGCTCGTTGCGTCTAATCCGGTCAGAGTCCTCTCCTTATCAGCTTTGCTGGTGATCCGATTGTATATTCTATTCTTCCATAATGAAGATCTTGCCGGTTTTCTGCCCAGACGAACGCTGTTGCTTCGTGCGCTGTCACCCTACGCGTATGAGATTCTGTTCCTGTCCGCAAGGTGCATGAAGTGGCTGGTTCTCGCCGAGGCTGACATTTGCTGTAGCCTATGTATATAAGTCGACCAGATACCTGGGGAAATAGCTAGGCTGTCGACGGCTTCCCTCTGGCTGACCAACTCCTCCCCTTCACTGTCTTCAACCAGCCTAACGTTCTTTAATCCCTCTCTTTGCTTTCGAAATGATGGCATTTAGCCAAACGATCGTGAAGCTTCTTTCCGTTGCCCTTGTTTCCTTCGCTCTTGCTCATGCCTCTGCGGTCCCAAGAACCGATGTTCTTGATAAGCGTGGCGGGGCCAAGGTCCAAGCAGCGTATTTCACGAACTGGTAGGTTTGATCCGTTGGCAAACCTCTCGAGAATTTTCACTGATTGGGTATCTCAGGGGAATATATGGAGCAAACTTCCGTAAGCTCCTACGTGTCTGGAGTGAACGGCATGCTACTGATATAAGTATGATCAGAGCCTACCGATATCAACGTCGAACCGTTGACGCATATTCTCTACTCGTTTGCCGATGTCCAGCAGGACGGCACGATTGTCTTGACTGACTCTTACGCAGACGAACAGGTGTGTCGCTGCAATAACCGATCGACCTGTAGCATTAACCTTGATACGTTCCTAGAAACACTTTCCAGGTGACTCGTGGGATGACACGGGAAACAACCTTTATGGGTGCCTCAAGCAGGTAACGAAATCGCATGTTGAGGTGCATTAGTTAAACCTTTCTAATGCCCTTTTATAGCTTTACTTGCTAAAGCTTGCGAATCGGTATGATGAGCACCTCTACATCTGATCTCATTGCTTAGTAGAACGATTCAGGAACTTGAAAGTACTTCTTTCTATCGGCGGCTGGACGTACTCTCAAAATGGTCATTTCAACTTCGTGACGGATGCGTCAAAGAGGACGACATTCGTCAATTCCGCTGTGCAACTTGTCAAGGATTATGGCTTTGACGGAATGTAAGTGACGCTCTTGTCTTTAGCTATAGTATCGTCGGATGGCTGACTACGAAAGTGTATAGTGACCTTGATTACGAGTATCCTGCAAATTCAGACCAGGGACAAGGCTTCGCGGACTTGCTTACTTCAATTCGCTCTGCCTTCGACGATCTCGCTTCGTTAAACGGAGACAATGCCCCATACCAGCTGACTGTAAGTTTGACAGACCTTTGACTGCTTTATGCTCTAATAAAGCGATTTGATTCTGTCAGGCGGCTGTCCCAGCAGGCGCAGCGAACTACGGCTTCCTCAATGTAGCTCAAATGGACAAGGCTCTATCACACTGGAACCTGATGGCGTACGATTACGCAGGATCATGGCTTAACTTTGTACGTCTATTGCTTGTAGATGTCCGTGTTAAATTTATTCGTCATATGTTTAGACCGATAACCAAGCCAACGTGTACGGTGGCGCTCGCACAGGCGTCAGCACTGACAAAGCTATCTCGTTTTACCTTTCGAATGGCGCTACAGCGGGAAAGATCAACATGGGTAAGTGGACAAGCTTGACATCCTCCTTCAGAAGTTAACATTATGAGGCTAGGTATTCCACTCTACGGTCGTGCATTTGAGGATACGGATGGAATTGGCCAATCGTTCAACGGTGTATGCGACCTTCGTTATTTTTCTATATTGTATTTATTTTTTCCCGGATAGATTGGTCCTGGTACCACCGAGGCCGGTATTTACTCGTACAAAGCTCTTCCGATGACTGGTGCCCAGGTTTTCGAGAACATGACGGATGTAACAAGTTACTCGTACGATTCGTCGAAGAAGGAACTCGTTTCCTATGACACGCCCCATATCGCATCCGTCAAGGCGCAGTATGTAGTCTCTAAGGGTCTAGGAGGACAGATGTTCTGGGATGTAAGTGATACCGGATTTGATGTCACAGGATGAAAGGGTTGAGGATTAACTTGGTTTCTCTAGCTCTCGACGGACAAGACTGGAACCCCAGATTCACTTGTCAGCACCACAGCCAATGTCTTCGGCGCGCTTGACCAGACGCAGAACCACATTCAGTACGCTCGTTTCTGACATCTTTTTCGATGCATGTTAACACGTCTTGCCGTAGTTACCCAGACAGTAAATGGGACAACATTCGTAGCAACATGGGCCAGAACTCTGGATCCTCGACCAGTTCTTCCCCGTCCAGCACGAAGTCTTCAGCATCATCCAGCACGACGTCTTCGACACCATCCGGCACCACATCTTCTTCCTCTTCCACACCGACGTCTGGTGCTTGTTCCGGAGTTGCTGCATGGAACTCAGCTGTGCGTCTTTCCCATCCAACTCCAGAGTTCGTCGAATCTGACCTCTCTATTTCTTCGTACAATTATAGACCGCATACAATGGAGGCGCCGAAGTCAGCTACAGTCAGCAGCAGCCCCTACTGTGCATGTAAGCCCAGTGAATTGACTCACGTGCTTTTCATTCTAGGCGGACACCTTTGGACTGCCAAGTGGTGGACGCAGAATGACACTCCTGGGGGCGCTGGTAAGATCATCGCATGCAATATATTTGGGATTGTTGAACACTAATGAATGTCCTTCCTTTCCCCCCCTAATAGCCGGTGTCTGGACAGACAACGGCGCGTGCTCATAACCTTCTTGGTAGCCATCAAGGCCCATTGTGAAATGATTTGTACTTTTATATCTGGTTTGTATTTCGCAAAGTGGCTTTATCCTTCGTAAGCAACTCAAGATGCCCTGACGTTCCTTTTCTGCCACGCTCCTTTGACGACCACTCTTTGAACTCACCTTCCTTTCAAAGCCAGTCTTTTCCTCTCCTCCGGGTTACTCGTTTCACTTTACGGTCACTCAAATGCAACCACGGCCAAACTGGTCTTTTCTTTCTCTTTTTTTTCGAAATGCAGTTGCTGTCGCACCAATGTATATTAGTCAATAAACGATTATGCAAAACTCATCACGTCGTCGACGATGCAAGACAAAGCAGGAGATACAAAACGACTATGTCAATGAAGACAGAAACGAGAGGGAGACAAGAAGATCTATAGATACAGCGAAGAACAGAAAATTACAGAATTTGGTCGTGCAAGCATCTCAAGAGCCTTGTCAAACTTCTCCCGCAGTTCGTCATTTCCAATGACTTTTGCCGCCTGGGACATTTGTCGAAGGAGTTCTTGTAGACGGCGGAACACCCGGATGACGTTGCCCTCGAATTGATCTGTCAACTGAAGAGTAAAGGCTGTCAAGCTGGTGCATCAACCACGGATTGTAAGGAGCACGAACTTTGCAGATCTCAGAGAACGAGGCGCCACGACACCATTGGATGACAGCATCCATAAGCTCAACCTTAAACGACTTAACATAATCGTCCTCCTTAATAGTCATTTTCGATTCGATCATGACTTTTGCTATTCGTCGGGCCATTCCTTGCATTATACGCAACGGCGCAGCGAGCTCCTCAGATAACTTCGTTACTTGTTGGCTCTGGAAACGGACAGGAGGTGAGACGCCCGGAAAACATTAATTCAAAGACCCGGCTTACCTTTTCTTCGAATACGAAGCAGCTTAAGAGAGCCGCACATTGCTCCGGGAGTAGAGGATTGAAAACGCCATTGAAGATGAGCTCGGTGAGGAGCAGCTCGTCACCTGTACTGATCTCGCAAGCCACACGACCTTTCATATCAACAATGTCCGACGATGACGTAAAGCCTAACCGCCGTAATACACGTTTTCGACTCTTGAGCTCCTCAAGTTGCATGATATCAAGCGTTGCTTGCACGCGCTTGTTCAACTCGCGAATTCGGGTTTGGCATTGCCGTTTCTCATGGTACAGGGTATAAAGTTCCGGTAATCGAGGGTCTTTGTGGAGAGGGCTTGAGAACATCTTGCCTTCCATGATCTCGATTTTCTGTATAGAAGTTAATAAGGTCAATTATCTTAACTATACTGTGGCTCGAGGACTTACTTTGACGAGCTGCTTGAACTTGTCATCCTTGATGTTCATGTTTTGTATAGGATCTAATAACGTTATCCCGTCGGCCATACGTCGATGTACTTCAAGTATGCTCTTCCATGCTGTCTCCCGCGCCTGAAGCGGACGAAGGTCCTTCGGCAGGAATATTCGAATAAGACTGATGCCCTCGATGGTTGATAGTAAGATGGGAACAACCAGCGGTTCGCCCTTCTCCCCCGGAGGGCAAGGCTGAACACCGTTGGGTGTTGCAGTGGTTACGTTGCGATCTTTTGGTAAGGATGAGCCTTTTGAGCAGTTGAGAAGGACATCAACGATGTATTGCTCATGAGGAGGGACCTCTTCGACTGTTGGTCCGGGACGATTCTACGACGCAAGCATAAGCGCGAAGACCTTCTATCGTACAAAAAAAGGAAACCTGCCTTTGGTGGGAGGCGTTTTTGATAGTTGATGATCACACCCCATCCAAAGTCAAGCTTCTGATATCTGACTTTGACTAATCGACCTGGTTGGAGGAAAGGGAGACTGTATGTAGGATGGGTGATTACTTCTCGGAAGTCAGCACCCATTTGATCAAGTTGCGTTCGGTATTCATAATACTCTGCGACAAGTTTCTCATCGGGAATCTTCATTGAAGCCTTCTTTTCTTCCAGAGCTTTCAGTTCTGTCGGCCACTATCAGAAAACACGAAAAAAACACATAGTTTTTAGTTTACATACCTTTCTCTAAAATAGGGATATTTGCGCTATTTTGAAATTGATAGAAACACCGTTCTAACATGAACTCGGGGCTAATGCCTTCGACCTTCATAAGATTAAGCACCATGTTGTAGCCTAGATGGAACGCAGAGTCTAGTCGGTCTGCCTCGCCTTTGATCATGTTTTTCGCCGCGCTTGGTTCAAGCTTCTCATCGACCATCATTATAACAACGCCTCTGTCATCGAGACCACGACGTCCTGCTCGACCAGACATCTGAATATATTCACCAGATGACAGATTTCGAAACTCGTGACCATCGAATTTCTTGACATCGGTGAAGACGACAGTCTTCGCAGGCATATTCAGACCGATGGAGAATGTCTCTGTCGCGAAGAGTACTTTGATAAGACCCTCCTGGAATAGAATTTCGATGACTTCCTTAAGGATAGGGAGAAGACCTCCATGGTGGATACCAATGCCGCGCTTCAGCAGCGGAAGGATGTTGGATATTTGGGGAAGCTGGCGGTCATCAGGTGCAAGATTGTCGATAGCGTTGTTGAAGATATTGGTAATCAAATCCTGTTCCTCTGCACTATTGAACTCGAGTTTTGACATCGTTAATGCAAGCGATTCGCATTCTCGTTTGCTAAACGCAAAGACAATAACGGGGTTGAAGTTCTTCAACATGATCATCTTAATAATCTTGGAGATATCCGAAGGACCTGATCGTAATGTGGTCAGGTTAAAATGATGTAACGCAATTAATATCATTACCTTTTTTCTCGCCGCCCTTCTTCGTCTTCCCTTTCCGTCCTTTCCCAGCCTTGGGGTCAGCTGGATCATCACCCTGTTTATCCACAAGAGAGCCCATCGCCTTGCTGAAGTTGTCCTCTCTGAATTCGCCCTTCTCATTTACGACAAGGTAAATACCCTCTCCACCTTGTGGGAAGAGGTAGTGTTGTAAGGGAGTTGGTCGGAAGTCGGTATATACGACATGGCAAGGTTGTTCGTGAGATTTGCATATCCATTCAGCGAATTGCATGGCGTTTGGTATGGTCGCGGAAAGGAACACATAGCGAACAGTGTGAGGGAGTAATATGATTGTTTCTTCCCATACTACGCCCCGCTCCTTGTCTCGCATATAGTGGATTTCATCGAAGATAACCCATGCCACCTCTCGCATGATTTCAGAGCCCCGATAAAGCATGGATCGTAGAATCTACTTGTCCGAAATCAAAACCGGTATATGAATAGGAAAATACAGAAACGCACTTCAGTAGTCATAACCAGACAGGTTGCGGTCGGATTAATCGTAACATCTCCAGTCATTAGTCCTACGTCTCCAAATTCCGCGAGCATTTCTCGGTACTTTTGATTGCTCAGTGCCTAACAAAAAGTCAGTACAGGAATAACTGCCAAGTTTACACAACATACCTTGATCGGACTTGTATAAATTACACGTTGCTTATTCTCTAAACATTGTGCGATGGCATATTCCGCGACAACAGTCTTTCCAGCACTAGTATGCGCAGACACGAGCACACTTTCGTTCCGCTGAATCGCGTGTACCGAAACTTGTTGGAAGGGATCGAGTGTGAACTTATACTCTCGCACAGGTTTCGCAGGAGGGACGTGGTTGGCAATGGGAGTGTAGTTGTAGCCAGGAGGCACGGCAACTTGATGTCGCACCTGATGCCTCAATTCGAGTCGTGAGCCTGCTTCAACTTGCCCTGTTAACCCAGCACTCGCTGCCACTTCGCGTTTCGCCTCCGTCTCGAACTCATCCACAACTACTGGTGCTGGCGACGCCATTCGAGGTTTCTTTGTTGCGCGCTCCCGCTCATCCTCCTCCTCTCCTTTGTCCCTATCCTCGTACTGGGCGCCGTTTAGAGACGCGTCCTCCCCATTCGTATCGGCCTTGCGCTTTCGACCACTGTCGTCTGGCACACTTGCATCCTCTGCGTCGAGATCAATATCACCAGCTGCATCTTCCTCATCCAGTTCGTCATCGCTTTCGAGCTTCTTGTCATCAATAAATGAGAACAAGTCGTTGACGTCCATAGCCGAATGCAGGGAGATTGAAGAGTCCAAGGGCGTGCTTCTCTGGTTCAAAATTTGAAGTTAAAGCTCTACTGCCTTTTCCGGAAAGTTGCTGACATGATCGACGCGTCTCGGGATAACAATCGTCACAGCGTCGTATTTGCCTGATCTATCATCTCCTACTCGGGACTTGAGGACACTAGTACTGTGAGTGCGTGTTAAGTCAAGAAGCTAGACATGTCTTGTGCGACAAAATCTAATTGAAAATGTGTGCAACTTGTGCCAACCCGCACTTGGTGTCTTACAGTACGTTGATGCTTAACTTCATACCCACAGCATGCGAATCCAGCGGTGAATCACTGTTATCCTTCTGTAGAGCTACGATAATGGATGCTAGGCGTCTATATTTGGTACTTTCGGGTGATAGACTGTATGTGGTTGGCCCACATTTTGCACAGGTGGTTCAAGACGTGCTATACCGTTCTCCGACCAAAATCCACTTTGTCGAGGCTATGTTGCAAGGTACCTAGTACACAAATCTGGGACATACACTGCCTAGGAAATATGGGTCCTTTGTTGCTTGTACCTGTCCCCAGACCTCTTTCTGCCATTTCCCCCTCACTGCAGTATCCACCATCCTGATCTCGTCACTGTCTATACAACGAGTACTCATCGATGAAAATTCTTTCGCGCCGTTTTCTTAAGAAGGCTCTGGCCTCTCAGATGTCGAACCTACCTTTGAACTCAGTGCCTGGACTGATGTTGGAAGCAAAGAGTAGCACTCCACGAACCATCAAGACATTCACTAAACGACTCTTCTCAAAGAGCTCTTCAGACACGAGTCGTATTGGAATATTGGCGACGCAGCCAGTCGCGGTGCGAAATTCTGAGTGCCTGCCATCTGGTACGGATGTGCCCATAGCCAGCGACGTGGCAAGGACGGCACTTAATCAAGATACCAGCCCCATCCCGACACCCCCCCAAGAAGAGCAGAAGAACTCGTCAAAAAGAAGATTCTCGGGAAAATCATTTCCTTATTTCACTTCTGAGTACAGGGCATGGCAGCCGCATCCGATGCCTTCCTGCCTGCGAAGCCGGCTGTTGGTGGCCTTCTACTCGTCATGGATGCTGTCCAGGTATCACCACTTCAGTAACTTTCTTGACGCAAAGGCTAACGACATATTACAGAAAGTCCAAGACGAAAAAGCCGAGAACAAGCAGCTCCTGAAGAGGATCGAGACTATTGGTGGAATGTTGAAAGAAGTAGTAGCATCGCCAGGCGCTGATTTCCCTGAGGAGTTACAAGGTGTTGTTGCTACTCTTGATAGGTGATTAATAACCACAAATCCAGTGACTATATACTGACAGCACGTCGATTATAGCGTTTTGGTTAAGACTGCAGATGAACTATCAATCGAGTTGGGAAAATGTTTTTTCAGCCGTTTCTTTCTCCTACCAATGCGATCTGGCATGTCGAGAAGGTTCCGTCAGGAGATCGTAACTGCAGTGGAAGATTACAAGGTAGAATTTCTGCGCTTTACTTCCAATACACAAATGTTATTAACTTCTGTCTGCAGCTTCGCCTACTCGCTTGTTGTCCTACCCACCAATCAATTACACACGTCTGCCACGCTTCTGCACAAAACAATAACGACAATGGCCGTCATCCTCGTAAGTCTACGTCTTGTCCGGAAATGAACACTGCCTTAACGTGGTGAGCATAGTTACGGTACTTCTGACGCTCGACAAGTATACAATCACAGAAGTCAATGTAGTGTTTTCGATGCTTCGTAGAACCCTGTCCTTCTATGCTCCTTTTTTTTAAGACCCCCTATTACCAATTGAATGGAACCCCATAAAAGGCATAATGCGATCCTCGCTGACGCCCAACGCACCATCAATAATGGCGTAACATCATTCGAATATCGCGTTCATAAACAAGTAGAGTCGTTTGTACAGCAACTTTGATTTATTAGCCTCTTCTGGCATTTCTACACTTCCAAAAGTAACACAGGATAACTCAGAACTCATAACCCTACAATGTTTCGGAACGAGGCTAAATTAGAATTCGATTAATCAGGAATTATACAAGATTCAAAGGCCGCTGAGCTTTGCATCCAATAACGTAAGAGAACTTTGTTTAATCAAATTACGTGTATGTCCTCTCGGGTTCTACATCCCATGCAGGGTTCATTCATTGCGGCATTGAAAGGAGTAGATTAAACAACGTCAGGTGCAGGCTTGCAGCGCCAATGCAGGCTACCAATTAGCTTGTCTATTATCAGCCCAAAGATGCATTAGGAAGATATCTAATATACGAACGAATACTAATCAAATTAGGCATCTATTAAACTACCAAGCAAACCTCAAAATGCTAAATTATGACTTCACCGGCCACGACTTTGCTCGAACGGCCTTAATCCATTTTGCATCGGCATTCGGGTATTGCCAGACCATCACACCGCCGGACCAGCCCTTCCCCTTTGCTTGCTGAACACAGATGGCAAGCAGGTCTGGAGCCATGTATCCCTTTGATGCGTCTGCCTGCGTCGCTGGTTTGCCAATGACAAGCATCTGCTGTGGTATACCTTTCTGTGCAATCTCCCGCAGTGACGTACCAGGCCAGTTGCTAGATGACTTGTAAAGGAGGCTATTACAGTTATCATAGTCCTGTAAGCCATAATACTGGATGTTATACTGGAGTAGAGAGTTACTGTCAGACCTGGTAGAAGCGATACACAAAAGGAGCTTACCCAGTCAATCAAATTGCCTACTTCTTTGTGAACCTTAAGGCCCTGCTCGGTTGCACTGGTCCCGCAACCGCAGGTTGGTGGTTGATGGCCGGCAATTTCCGGTACAACCGTCAACCACCAGTGCCAACCTTGTCACTTTGGTCACAAGTAGTATAGTGTATAGACTCATTACTTTCCCTTCATCTTTCATCATTTATCCTTTCAAATTAGTATATAATTATGTGTCCTAACATAAGTACTACACAGTGTAGATATAATTGAGACACAAATAAATAAATAGAAACATAAGTTAGGACTTTAGGTGCATAAATGCACATATAATTAGGCATATATGACAGATATATTATATTATTATAGTTGGTTTGGACATTCAAAGCTTGGATTATTAAATTGCCAGTAGAATACCAGTGGGGAATACAATACAAGAGAGAAGTAGTAACAAGGGAAATGTAGAGGGGG